ACTTATGCATGAACCCTAAAGGTCAAACATCCCCACACTTATGCATGAACCCTAAAGGTCACACATCCCCACACCTGTGCATGACCCTAAAGGTCACACATCCCCACATCTATGCATGACCCCTAAATGGTCACGCATCCCCACACCTATGCATGACCCCTAACGGTCACACATCCCCACACCTATGCATGACCCCTAATGGTCACACATCCCCACACCTATGCATGACCCCTAAAGATCACACATCCCCACACTTATGCATGAACCCTAAAGGTCACACATTCCCACACTTATGCGTGAACCCTAAAGGTCACACATCCCCCACACTTATGCATGAACCCTAAAGGTCACACATCCCCACACTTATGCATGAACCCTAAAGGTCACACATCCCCACACCTGTGCATGACCCTAAAGGTCACACATCCCCACACCTGTGCATGACCCCTAAAGGTCACACATCCCCACACCTATGCATGACCCCTAAAAGTCACACATCCCGGCATTTGTGCTGACCCCTAAAGGTCGCACATCCCGGCATTTGTGCATGACCCCTAAAGGTCGCACATTGTTGGGGTATTGTCATACAACAGCAATAATTTCCATGACTATATTTAAGGGTCCTACTATTTAACGCCCGGACACGTGAGGGAGTGTCCGGGCACGCGCGGAGGCGAACAGGGGGAATACCTAACACGCGGGGCAGCGGCAGCAATCCTTGTACTGTATAATATTCGTTTATGCTCAAAATTTGAACCGGAGTGGCGAATTCGAGCAGCTATCCACACTTTTTATGATCGACGCCCGGGCATTCCGGCGAGTCGAGTCCGCCATGTTGTTTACTAATTTTGGTTAGCGTTTAACAATAGGACAATACCATTCGATCCATGGGGGTGACAGTCCTACGTATGTGCAGACATTGTCGAAGGACAAGGACAGGAAAAGTTTGTGCAAGTGTGGCGAGAGACTCCCGTAGTTACGCGGAAATTATTTACTTCATGTGAAAAAAAAGCATGTTTCTCATTGTTGTGCTATATTGTATCGTATCATGGATCTAGGTAGTCCTGCGTACAGTCTATGGAGGTACGCCGGGCTGTGGTGGGGTCGTCTATCAACCAAACGCGCTCCCGTACATACAGCACTGTATTCAGGGCTAGCATCCAAGAGCTTCGTGGTTGTGTTATAATGTTATAACCATAATACGTATCGAGACCAAACATAATTTGTCGATAATCGAGTGTTGCAAGAAAAAGTGAGATTGTCGCAAAATGTAGCAAATCGTTTTCAAACAGTGCCGCTAAGAAAGTCTCGCTTTGTTTGCGCCCCACTGTAAAACATGTATAGTAAACAAACCGCCCTTTTAGAAAATATTTTTATTAAAAATAAGTACAAGTCAACTAAAACGAAAATTAAAACATGTATAGTAAATAGACAGACACCCCGCCCTTGTGGAAAATATTTTTATTCAAAATTATTCAAAGTACAAGTCAACTAAAACGAAAATTAAAACATGTATAGTAAATAGACAGACACCCCGCCCTAGTGGAAAATATTTTTATTCAAAATTATTCAAAATTGACAATGCTATGATAAACGTGTTTTTCGTTGTCGCTATAATCAGAACTCCAAGTTAAAATATTAACGGGGAAGTACAATTGCGCATGCCTCCCATTAGTTCCAAAGAACGGCATTATCACGTCGGTATGTTCAATGGTCCACACTGAATACAATGGCATAACACTAATAGTTTTGAAAAAAATACATTAACACGTCGGCAAGTTCAATCGTTCACACCTAGGACAATGGCATAACTCTGTAATAGTTCTGAAAAAAAAAAACATTAACATGTCGGCAAGTTCAATCGTCCACACCGAAGACAACGTCATAACTCTGTAATAGTTCTGAAAAGAAGGTGTTATCATGTCGGCAAGTTAAATTGTTCAAACTAAAAGCAACGTCATACACTGATTTAAAAAAAAAAAACCGCCGATAGCACACGGGTTTGGAAAAGATCGATCACGGGGCGTGTATACAGAAAACTACTGGTGTGTAGCTCGCCAACTGGGCTTGGGATCTCTCCATCGCGTCAAGTGGTCATTCATTCGCAAA